GAGCTGTGAGGGTCAGACCTGTGAGGGTCAGACCTCTGAGGGTCAGAGCTGTGAGGGTCAGACCTCTGAGGGTCAGAGCTGTGAGGGTCAGATCTGTGAGGCACATTTTCACATCGTTAGGATTTTATAAATCACAACCTTGGTGTACAAAGTGGCGTACGCAGGTTTCTGGGCTCAAATTGTGCGTACGCCAGTTTTGTAAATCCGACCCCTGATACGTATCCGATTTAAAACCACATACTGAAACGGCCTGGGTCGGATTTGAAAAAAAGGGATTTGTCTCGTTCAGACTGTCATAAAAAATTCGGATTTGCCTGCAGTGTGAACGTAAGATGCATCACTCTCTCAACCCCAATCCTCCACAAGAGTCTGCCCCCAGATCCACAGTGAGATCTTTCCTTGAGCTTAAAACAAAAGAACTTGTACTTCGATCTGCTGGACAAAAAAGAACATTCTGTACATGGGAAACACGTTAACGTTGAACAAGACTACCTCAATGATACGCTGACAAAGAGAAAGGCCTACATCCCCATTAGAAGAGCGCTGAAAGAAAACAACATCTGATTCCAGACACTTCACCGCCTGGGCTTCATGTCCAGCTTAGCACAGGAACAGTGATCTACAAAGATGCACAGGAGGCTGCAGCAGACCTAAGTCAACGAGGAGGGATCGACACAGAACTCTGACCCCTGTGACAAAGCCCACGGAGAAGATAACCACACAACCAGCTGGGAAAGTGCAGGTACAACACACCACAACAGAGGAGCAAGACTGAAACACATTCAGGAAGAATTAGAGGAATTTCAACGAGAGCAGAGACCCAGCCACTTATTATCACTAATATACTGGGTATCCTCTTCTCACACTGGAACTATGACCTGAAAACTGCTTGATCTTTACCTTAATGTGTGCTGCTCTGGTTGATCAGACTCAGGACCGAGACTCAGGTCTGCACTGTGAGGGGCTGCTTTGAGTTCAACGAACCCCCTCACAACTTTGAAGTGAGTATTGCACTTCAGAAATGGAGGTCACCTGTGTTCTGTTGTTCATGTTTACATTGTTTTTATTGTTCATTATTGTTAAAATCAACATTCTATGTTCAAACCAACAAGTTGGTTGATTTTAAACTCTGTGAAAACCTCTATCTTCTTAAAGAACCAATGAAGAGACAAAACTATAATTTCATGACCCTTAATCTGAACAGTCTGCACAATCCCATTAAAAAAGTTAAATCACAGCTAAACTGAAACGTGAAAAGCTGGATGTAATTTTTTGGCAGGAAACTCTTCTTTCTCGTGAAGAACATGAAAAATAGAATATATTTGGTTTCAGACAAACATATATATAAGATCTCCCCCTACTGGACAGAAGTGAAGAAGATCACTAAACAGATCACTGGACTACAGCTGGAAGAGCGGGGCAACAGCCCAACTGGCCTGAGGAAACGAGACAGATACCTGTTACAAACACTACAAACAGCCAGCAAAAAGGCAATAATAAGAAAACAGTTAAGAGAGGATTCACCTACAGTTCTGGAGTGGATGGACATAACACAGGAACTTTAAATTATGGAGAGACTGACTTTTTCCCTCAGATATTCCTCAGCAAAATGTGAACAATATTGGAAAAAATGGAAACAGTTTATCTGTAATTAAACCCATTACACTCAATACTGAATACTAATCTTAACCCCCATAAACACCAACCAAATTTCCACAGAAAGGTTATCTTTGTTGATTTTTTTTCTTTCTTTCTTCCATTTTTGTACATATATCTGATAGTTTTTTCATATGTTTTACAAGTTAATTTACAAGTTTTACAAGTTAAGTCTTATTTATCCTGCAGTCATTTGCTTTATTTGTTTTAATATTAACTTGTATTTGATTGAAAATAAAAAAAAGTTCAATTAAAATAAAGTAAAAACTAAATAAACAAGAACATTTAAAACCAACTCACATCAGAAACTGAGCGCCCCATTTCATGAGCAATCTTCTCCCACCGACCTGGAGACCCTCCAGGGAATTTAACCATCAACCTGCTCAGGACACTTAGATCGTCCTCCGTCCAGTCAGTAGCCTGAAGACAAAAACACAGTCTGATGACAACAAGACAGACAGAGGACTGACAGGAAGGACAGACTGAGGACAGAGGGAAGACTAACAGTGGACAGGCTGAAGACAAACTGAGTTCAGATCAAAGACAAACAAGATCACACCTTCCTCTTGGCAGCTTTGCGATCTTGCAGCCAATCATCCATCTGGTCTTCAATGTCTTCAATAGACGTGGTCGTCTCATACTTCTGGTAGTTCTGAGTTTCTGAAGAGGCTTGGTAAACTGGAAAGTCCTGTTTGGGTTTCTTGACCTTTGGTCTTTTCTCTCCTGCAGTTGGAATCAAACTGTTGGGTTATTGTTTCTGTTAGATAAAAAAGATATGAAAGAACTGGTAACGTTTTTACTGGTAGCAGCTTCATGTTCAGCTTCCGCCTCATCTTTCTGCTGCTGCTTAATCTGTTGGTAGTCCTCATAATACTGCTTCACCTCCTGCAAGACAGAACAATATGACACCAAGAACATCAACTAAGACAAGAACCAGTGACATGATACCAAGAACATCAACTGAGACAAGAACCAGTGACATGATACCAAGAACATCAACTGAGACAAGAACCAGTGACATGATACCAAGAACATCAACTGAGAAAAGAACCATTGACATGATACCAAGAACATCAACTGAGACAAGAACCAGTGACATGATACCAAGAACATCAACTGAGATGGCAGCTTTTTACGGCTGTGGTAGAGTGGTTAGGGGAGTTGTTCCTCTAATGTGAGGGTGTGCAGTTTGATTTCCCGCTATTCTGTCACATGTCGAAGTGTCCCTGGGCAAGGCAGTGAACCCCCACTAACCATGAATGGATGTGATTTAAAGCAGTGATTAGTCTCTGTAGACTGATTCACCAGTATGAGCTTTGCATTGAGATCCAACAGAGTGCTGTGTGAATGGGTAAATGAGGACACAGGTTGTAGTGTAAAGCACTTTGAGTATCCTGTTTGATAGAATGTGCTATATAAATAGAGTCCACTTATCATCGGCATGATAGCAAGAACATTGACAGTGTTGTCAATATGCTGTTAGCAGAACAGTCAACGTCATATAAACTAAAGGTGCTAACTGGGATGAGGGCCCACCTGGAGTGTCTGAGGCAGGCTTTTGATGGACAAGTAAAGCCAGATGCTGAGCTTCAGAGGAAGGATGTCTTGCCAGTGAGGTCGTTCCTGGTTCCTGAAATAACAACCAAACAATAACAAACAGAGTAATAAACAGGAAGTCAAGCAGTGGTGATGTCAAACGCTAACCTGTCAGAACCAGTCCACTTGAGTTCCTCTGCAGGTCTGGAGCTCAACTTCTTCTTCTTCTCTTTTTTCTTCTTACTCAGCAACTCGTCCTGGAAACATGGAGCTCAGGTCACATGACACGCTGTGATGCGTATGGCTGCTCTGTGCTCTAAGTGGTTAACTCACCAGCTGCTTTTCCAAGTAGATAGACCAGATGACAGCATAGTGTCCTACAGTGAGGATGAGGAAGAGAAGGAAGCCAAGCTCAGCATTGCTCATCTTCCTCACTCGTCTGTAGTAAAAGACTGGCTGCCGCCAATCAGGAAGCCCATTCTCCAGGATGTCATCATACCTGCAACCACACACCTGTTCAGCTTCAGGACTCACCCTGATTGAATGATGGGAAATCCCACAGCTTCAATTGGCTGACAAGACCATTCTCTGTCCTGATTGGATGACGAGAATGTGTTTGACTCTGATTGGATAAAGGGAACAGTCTACTCTAAAATGTTTATTGTAATACACTGCCTGGCCAAAACAACAGGTGTCCACCTGGATTTAACTAAGGTCTATGGTAGGCGGCTGTGGCAGTGTGGTTTGAAGAGTCATCCTGGAACCGGAAGGTTGCCGGTTCGATACCCCCTTCCAACTGTCTCAGTTGTTGTGTCCTTTGGCAAAACACTTCACCCCCAATGCCCCTGATGTGTGTCCCATCAGTGTATGAATGTGATTAGCACTGATTTGTACATGAAAGCTTTGTAGAGACCTAATAAAATGCTGTGTGAATGGATAAATGAAGAACCAGATAGTTGTGTGAAGAGCTTTCAGGTTCCTGGTTGGATAGAAAGGTGCTTGGTAAGTACAGTTCATTTACCATAAGGTTGCTGCAGGTGGTCAGGTCTAGGTTCAGCTCAAAGAATGAGGTCAGCTGACTACCTGAATATACTGAAGCACCAGGGGTCTCATTTATAAAGGATTGCGTGGAAACCATACTAAAAGTGGACGTACGGCCAAAAGGCAGAAATGGTGTACGCCAAAAAAAATTCAGATTTATAAAACCGTACGTACGCATTTTTCTACATCTGTCCTTTATAAATCACAGCCACACGTCAGAGTTTGTGAACGAGGTCCTCCTCAGGTTCTACCCTCTACACGCCCACACTCAACCATAAACAGTCAATGTAAAGTACCTCATGAATGTTC